TTCTCTCTCCGTCTGTCTCTGTCTCTCTGGTGAAAGCAATGCCCCCTGGCAAATATTTAAAAACCCAATTTAGCATTTTATCTGATTATAAGTGAACTATATGTACGTTATGAAACATTTGGAATAAAAGAAAAATAAAAATCCCTCAGTATCCTGTGAAGAAGATGAAATGTAACAACCGAAGGTCTGAGCGGTAACAGCATTGTGAGTTCATCTGAGCGTGCGTGTGGGCATGCCACGTTCGCCCGCTCGTCTGAAAACCTTGGGGAAGAACTGCAGGGCCTGTGGGCAGTGTAAACATTATGCGATCCCATCAAAGGGAGCTTTTGTTTGTATGCAACTCATGTAAGAGTAAATATCCCATAACTGCTTGTCATAATGCAAGGAAGAAAACCTGGAATGATGGCTACTGGCCAACACACAGATCATGCTCTGCCGCCTTAGAATGTTTTCTCTGCACTGCTTTTTAAAAACATTTTTCATATTACATGCCCCATCTCATATCACATTAACCCAAATAAAAACGTCATTATCCATTCAGTTCAACAGACAACAGGCAGAGTATGGTAGAAAATGACAATCCCATCCGCAGCCAGCTTTGGAAAGGGGGGCCGATGGCGGGCAGCTGGCCCAGGCGCCTGCTGGCGCCGTCCAAGCATATGTTCGGATTCGGCCCGAGTGGACCCTTCTTTAGACACAGAGCCTGCTTCTGAAGACGTGTGCGTAAGTCAAATTTTGCGTCGCAGCTGTCTCGTCACGGAAGCTCAAGCTTGGTATCTGAAGAGCCTTCCTTTAAAACAGTGTTTTTACCAGATTCCTATCGGTCGTCAGAAAAGTCATGGCACAGTTTTGCATAGAAAAACAGAAAACATACACATGACTTTTCCGACCACCCCATATTTCTCTGAAGTAAATCTAAAAGATATTTGGGGACATAGGCTTTTATTAAAATAGGGTTCACTTGTACCACTAAGTTGACTGAAGTAATTGAAGGACGATAGCGGTGAAGCTAATCACAGCACTGTGACTTAGACTGTACTAGTGCTCCCAACAGTAAGGTAACCAGAGATTTCTTGGAAGTCAGGGCCCAGAGGCCATTTGAAGTGACCCACTTACATGCCCGTTTCTAGGGACGGATCACTGAATCGATGAGAATTATGAAAAGGATGCAGAAGCCATGACGAGTCGGCACAGAGTTCCTAGGAATAAATCAGGGTAGTTGTACTCTTTTCTTTTCCGAGAGGACTTCAGGAAAGAAAGATGAAATAAATTACATTTATCTTGGCAAATCATTGGCCAGAGTCTCCCCAAGCCAGCTTTATCGAGAAGGGGGGCCACCGAGCACTTCCAGCAGGCTGAGGCACTGGGATGGGTGAGGGTGCACCATCCTGTGTTGTCCTGTGGAGGGCCCAGGGCCCGGTGCTCCTGCTGTCTCCTTGCAACCAACCAGATGGAGACTTAGAGGATGGAGCGCAGGGACCGGCAGGTGACATAATGGTTTTGTTGTTGGGCTCCCATGTAGTTGACTGTGGTTCGAGTCCTGGAGCCAGAGGGTAAAAAAAACTCACACTGGGAGTCTGTGCATGCACAGAATGGAAGAGAAAGGATTGTGGCATGGCCATCTCCCCCAGGGGGCAATTTCTCGCCTTCTGTCTCTCTGGTGAGCACAGGTGCCCTATAGCAAAAATATCTCTCTGTCTCTGCCTAAAAAAGAAGAAGGAAGAGGAGGAGAAGGAGGAGGAGGAGGAGGGAGAGGAACATAGAGGGAATAGGCAACACTGGTGTGAGGTTCTAATGTCCCTGGGCTCACTACGCTGACAGACATCCCAACTCTCTAAGCTCTTTCCCCCAAGAGTGCTCCCTCTAAGAGTCTTGGCAAGAGGGGGAGGTTCTCGAATCCTCTGCCATCTCTCCACTCTGGTGGCTTCTGCTTCTTGATCTGTTGTTCAACTACCCACAGGTGCTGCCCAGGCCACCGCCATGGGAAGCTCCTCCTCAGGCCCACTTCCAGCCGTTACCTCTGAGCTCAGCCCTCAGCTCCCTCACTCCCAGGCTGCAGAAACAGCCCCATGGCTTCTCAGGGTCAGGTCCTTCACAGAAGCCTCCCTCAGCAGAGCCGTTGGGTCCCTGATGACACGACCCTTTCCTTACACCACAGAGCATGTGGAACTGGCTTGGCGGGAGCTTTAGGAGGGCAGGTCCTCCCAGGTACACTTACTAATCCAGGCTTCTCCAACCACCTGAATGTTTGGGGAAGTTAAGAGGTTCTTCTGCTCAGGACAGGATAACTTTGTATCGCAGTAAATGAAATGCAAACGGGAAGCCTTTCCAATGAAAGGACGCTAAAGGGTTACAGTATCAATAGTGCGCCTTATGATTCATGGAAAAAGTCCTGTGGTTTTCATTGACCTGAACCTCAATATTTGCCTGTGTTGTGTGTCTTCTAAAAAAGTCAACACGAACCTGGCTTTGCAGTTGATGGGCATGGAGCAGGTCACAGGAAGTGATTCGCTTACTCTGTACTGGACTGCATTTGAAATACGGGGTTCCATTGATGGGGCTGCCTTTTTGGAGTGACCCTGATGACACAGAGAGCAAAGAGGGGTGTGTGCCTACCGCGTGGTAAGAGGAGCAGTTGAAGGGACAGGAATTGGTCGCCTAGGAGAAAGCGAAGTGGAGACAGACACTTACCGTCTCAGTGTTTAAGGCACTGTCACATAGAAGGGCACAGGAATGACAGCCGTGAGAGCCTGCTAAACGGAGCAAGATTGTGCCTTAATACAATATACCTCCTGACACACACACTAACATTTTTTTCCTTTCTTTATAAATTGCCAGAGGACATGTGCACTTGCCAAGGAGAGATACAGAAATAGGCAGAGAAAGTGAGAAAGCACCTCCCAATGGGATGCGGTCACACTGCAATCCTTTTCCCCTCCGTTTCTTTATCCTGCCAGGATTTGGGGAGCACGCACACACGCACACACACACACACACACACACACACATCCAGCATATTTTCCCAGCCACTGGTCCTGGGATTCAAACCACAGTCAGCCACGTGGGATCCTCCCTTACATGTACATTGCAGTTACTTCTGTAAAACGCTGCCCTGTCCTGCGCAGAAGGGAGGCGGGCCAGTGGTAGCGAAGCTATGGGCCAGTCCAGAGGAGGATCTTAGAACTTTTCTCAATGCCTCAAGACTATGAGCAATGAGTGGATATCAGGCATTGTTCTGGGTTCTGGGGATACCAAAATGAAAACTTTTCCCTGCTCTCAGGAACTTACTATTGTCATGTCAAAATAATAAAATCTGAACATAGGGAACAGTGTGAATTATGTTTTCCCTCAGTGATGTTCAGAATAATGCATCGCAGGACATTGCTTTGGCTGTGGCGGTGTCCAGATTGTGTCCCAGTCGGAACGATTCCCCTCGACATTTCCAGCCTGGCGGGACTAGGAGGTCATCTGGGTGCTCGGCAGGCTCCCCGGGAATTCCCCCCACCCAAGCGATCCCACCGGGGTCAAAGTAATTGACCCAAAAATGAGATCTCGATCCGTCAAAGCAAGGTGGTAGCTACATGCATGTTCATGATATGATCACTCTACCTGTGTAGGTTAGAACTTTTCCATATTAAACATATTTTCATCTTAAAAATAAATCCAAGTGGGGCCAGAAGGTGGTGTGGTGGTTAAGGTGCTGGACCCCACACGGCCGACTGTGGTTTGCATCCTAGACCTTTTGGCTTGTTTTCTCATTTTCCCTCTCTCTTTCTTTGTCTTAAGTGAGCACACATGCCCTATAGCAAACTTAATAATAGTAATATAATAAATAAAATGGAAATAAATAACTCTTTTTCTTTTTTGGAGAGGTTTTTTTTGCTATAGGGCACGTGTGCTCACCAGACAGACAGAGAGATAGAAAGTGAGAAATAACAACCCAGAGGGGATGGCCACGACACAATCCCTTCTCCTCCATTCTCCTCTCGGGATCTTGGGCACGCACGCACACACGCCCGGCATGAGTTTAAGCCACTGGGTCCGGGACTCGAACCGCAGTCAACTACGTGGGAGTCCAGCGACATAGCCATTACGCAAACTGCTGGTCCCAATAAATAATTCTTTTTTTAAAAAAGAAGAAATCCAACAATTGCTCTGTGTGGACACAGAAGGCGTCTTGAAGTCAACCCTCCCTCTGTATTGCAAAGTCTGGGCAGCGTAAGCACGAATGAATAACTGGCCATCCGAAATGCTCTGGAAATGACTTTTGTGTTAAGTAAGACGTGCAACAGAGGACCTTAGTTTCCTTTGAACGCTGACTCTGCAGTCCCAGTAGAAGATCTAAATGTAATTGGAAGGAGTGAGCTTGAACTGATGGTAGTCCTGAAGATAAAATCTATAGACCATGGTCTATCTCTTCTCTAACGCTACCCAAATGTCACCAGAGTTCTGAGTGTTGGTTTTGTCTAAGCACTGATGATCATTTTCATAATTATTTCCCTCCATCTACTAATTTACTTTAAATCTTTTCTTTTTAGCTTAAAAAAAAAAAACTGCTTAAGCTAAAGCAGGTGTTTACGGTTACTGTATTGCAGGAATATTTTGTATTTTAGGTCTTCCTTTTGAATCTTAGCCATGTCCAAAGTACCTTCAAAACAATATTCGTTTTCCCAAAAAGCACCACACATAACCTCTTGGTCTGTGGCCGATTGCGGTGCGCTCCCTGCGTGGTGCCCTAATTACACTTTCGTTTTCCGCTCTCAGGTGACTCCTCTCATCAGCCGAGCCTGCGACCTTCTCCTGGCTCATTTAAAACACTACGCAGAATCCGAGGAGGCGTTCGACATCCAGAGGTGAGTGCTACGCTGCAGACGAGAAATCACATTTCCAATTGCTGCTTCTCGTAACAGTACATAATTGCTGGACAATTACCTTGGGACCAGCAAACTGTGGAAATGCTACAAGCTCACAAAACCATGGACGGACTGACTAATAGGAAGAAACGAAACCACTTAAGATGTGCACTGCATGTGAACAGAGCCCGGGGAGGTGTGATTGTGGAGGGCAGCTGGGGCATGCCCTGGTCGGTCCTCGCGCTTGCCCTCAGACCTCCTCATACCAGGGAATGAGCAGGGCATGTCTGGGCAGACAGAGCAGGGACCTGGGGAAAAACCTATTTATTCGCACTTGAAGGAAGATTGCAGGCAACCCCTGCGGCCTGGTAGTTAAGAAAGCCCAATCCTCAGGACCAGCTGATAGCGTAATGGCTGTGTCACTGGACTCCACTGTAGTCGACCGCGATTCGAGTCCTGGACCCCGTGACTTAAACTCACGCCGGGTGCGTGTGCGTACGTGCCCAAGATCCCGAGAGGAGAATGGAGGAGAAGGAATTGCGGTGCGCTATCTGTCTCTCTGTCTCTGTCTGTCTTTCTGGCGAGCGCACACACTCTGTAGAAAAAGCCTCTCCAAACAAAAAAAGAAAGAAAAGAAAAGAAAGCCCGATCCTATGGCCAGCAGGTGGGTGGTGGTTAAGGTGACATGGCTGACCATGGTTGGAGTCCTGGACCTGGAGGCTTGAAAATCACACCAAGCATGTGTGCAGACATGCTCAAAATCCCAAGAAGAGAGTAGAGGAGAAGGGATTGTGACCTGGCCACCCCCCATGGGGCGATTTCCCACTTTCTCCCTCTCTGGCAAATACACTTGCCCTATAGCAAAAACCTAAAAAAAAAAAAAAAATTTTTTTTTAAAAAAGGGGCAAATCAAATAACTCTTTAAACTCTTAAATCATCAATCACTAGGTCAGATGAAATAACATTCAGTAGTTTTATTTTTGTTTTTACAATGGCAGGAAAATGTGTACTCCATTAGCAGTCAAAACTTTAGAAGTCATCTGGAACTGTCACTCTCTGATGAGAACCCGGGGCTCTGGAAGTTATGTAGAAGAGGAACCAAGTGTGTGCCTACATCAAGGATAAAAATAGACCTTGGAGTTGAAGAAGGATATTAAAAACCCGGTTCTTAGCCTTTTTAAAAAGAACTCGATTTGACTATTCTGCAAGATAAAAAAAAGAGAATAATTCTAGTTTAAAATGGCCTTTTGAGGGGCAGGTTTCAAATGGTCTAAGACGTCAAAGTTTTGGAGTTCCCGCCAGACACTTCCCTTCTGTTTGCTTCTAACGTGCGGTGTATGTTTTCTGTAATAACATCCGTATGCTTCTGAAGCCTGTCCCAAAGTTTGTCTTATGTTTATTGAAGTGTGAAGAGCCCTGGTTTTTTGTTTGTTGCTCTTAAGAAAACTGTTAAGTCATTGGGAAGAACAGGCGACAAAGTTACTAACATGAGATAATCAGGTTTTCAACCCATCCATGACGAGCTGAAATACAAGACGAATCTCTAGATTCTGGCCCGAGTGGGCCTCGCACGGTGTTGGGCCAGTGCAAAGCTGCTTCCCAGGACCTGAGCACGCTCGGGATGGGAAGGCCGCCTTAGCCTGAAGGCTGCTCTCAGGCGCTCCCCTCCCCTCTGTGGTCTGTGTAGATAAGTCAGCCGTTCTGTCCTATGTCACCTCCGTATCCAGCTGCCGCTGCTCAGAGTCTCATGCCAGTCTCTCCTCTGCTGCCCCCACCTTCCGATCTGCAGAAAGCTCCTCTCTCAGGCACCGCCATGGGGCTAGACTTGCCCTTGGGAACGATGGAGTCATTCCTTTCAGGAGAGGCGCATTGTGGGCAGGCCGATGACAGAGTCTGTCACGTTCCTGTGTCCCATCTCCCGCAGGTGCTACTGTAGTTACACCACAGAGGTGGTTGCCAGCGTCGCCTTTGGCACCGAGGTGGACTCGTGGAAGGCTCCCAGGGACCCCTTCGTGGAACACTGCCGGCGCTTCTTCCAGTCCTGCATCCCTAGGCCCATCCTGGTTTTGCTCTGTAAGTGCAGCTCCTCCCAAGGCCAGTGTAACCGGGCTATGGCACACGGGGCAGAACTAAGACACCTGCCTGGCCCCAGGTAGCTTCCAGGGCTCAGTCCCTGCCACCAGGGAAGGGCACTCAGGGTGTCTCTGAGAGTCTCCCTGCAGAGCTTTGTCTTCCTGGAGCCACCAGGCTCTTACCGCCTATTACCAGCACAGGTAGCCTGGCCTCCCTCGCCACTGCCAGGGTGACAAGAGCAGTGACACCGAGCTATGTGCTTAGCCTCCTTTACGCTGGTGGTCACCCCGTGAGAAAGATGTTCTTGTCTCCATTTATCAGATGAGAACAGTGAGGCTTGGAAAGGCAGAGCCACGACCGGAACCCAAGCCTTTCATTTCCTGGAGCACGTCTTCCCTCCAGCACGGTCCTTTCCCGACGTCCCCACTTGAAACCCAGGGCGCGGGAATCCAGAAACCAGATGCGCTGGTCGATGAGTAGGCGACCCAGTGCCACAGAGATGCTGCTTTCATTTTTATCTCAGAAGTGAGTTTCTGTCCTCTGGCCAATTCCAGTATCTTCTTGCTTCTATGGAAGCACTGAAGTGTTGTTGTTATTGGTATTGATTATGCCATGATTTCCGGCCACGCTGCTAGGCTGGTAAATTCCGTCTGCTCCTTGGCCGCTTTCATTCCCACTTCTGGGCCAGTTTCGGCCTCTGCCACCTCCAGCAGCTCCTCACTAAAATAGTGAGAGGGTCCCTGCGCGGTCAAGCATTCTCCTGGCTAGCCCCTTCCCCTTCCCTGTCCCTTCTCCTGCCCCACACTCCCAGGGAGGCTGCTCTTCTCCGGCCCCTGCAGAACCTGTCTCCCTCTGTGGAGATGGTTCAGGCTCCAGCTCTGGAAAAAAGGCTGAGCGTTCTGACACCTCTGAGTGTCTGGAGCTGTTGTCTCCGACTCAGTTCCCACAGGGTCCTGGTGTGCCGCGGGGCCCCCACCACGCTGAGAAGCTGAGCCGGCTGGTCTCCCCTGCACCGGGACCTTGACCCACAGCCTGGCGCCTCTCAGGAGAGATTCGTGTCCCCTGTCTGGGCATGGCAGCCGTGTGACACAGCAGGAGGAGCCCACACAGATGCGGCCAGCACCCCTGTCAGCAGCTGCATGGGCAGCTCCTGGGGACGATCAGCTTGTTGCTTCAGGGATGATTATCCAGAGGGGAGAAAAAATGCAAATAACCAGAAAGTTAAGAAAGTCAATTAGCTCCTACCACTTGCTAGGAATTACAACACAGCCTGCAATCTGCTCTCCCGTGAGGAATTATGAAGGCCTTGGGTCTCGTACCTAGTACCTGAAAAAACGATTTGTAAGTGTGAAACTGACCTCTGGAGGGCAAAATGGCAGGACTCAACTGCAATTGTGCGGTGTGTTATTGTGAGCTTATTGTGTGTATGTGTGTGTGGGGGGGTAGGGGGTACAGTGAGGCCTTCCGAGGTGGAGCAAGCCTGAAGCCCTGCTCTGAGTGCCGGGGTGGGGGTGAGGTGCATGGGCAGGACAGTCTCCCGGGCAACTGCAAGTCAGGGCCAGCGCTGCTTCCCAGTAACAGTCTAATAGCCTTGGTTTTTATCGTCCCCTTCTAATGCCACTTTTGTTTTTCTCTTTCAAGTATCGTTTCCATCCATAATGGTCCCACTGGCCCGGATTTTGCCCAATAAGAACCGAGATGAACTAAATGGCTTTTTTAACAAACTCATTAGGAACGGGATTGCCTTGCGGGACCAGCAAGCTGCGGAAGAGGTAAGGAGTGTTAATAGGACACAGCCCCGAAAGGGAGCAGAGCGTGCTTTGGCCTCCCCATCTCCTTCTCTCTCCTGAACCCCATACAGCACACCATGTGATCCTCTAGTGACCTGCACTCAGAGCTTTCCAGGGCTGGGGGCAGGAAAGGAGGAAGTTGAGCAAGGTCCAAAGAAAAGGAGAAAGGGGAGGGAGGCAGGAAGGGACAGGCAGAAGAGACACCTGGAGCAGTTTGTCCAGACACTGATGGGGGTTGCAGAGTGGGGTGGGGGTAGAATGTAAGCTGCCCCCAAAAGTGCCTCTCTAGTTCAAGCATCACCCCAAGCACAGGTTACAGCTACGCAAAAGGATTTTCCTTTTTTATTTTTTTAAGAGGTTTTTGCTATAGGGTGCATGCGCTTGCCAGACAGACAGAGAGACAGAGAGACAGAAAGCAAGAAATCACCCCTTGGGGGAATGGCCATGC